TTACATCAAAGCCTCTGAGGTCTTTCACCTTCAAGTTCTTAACCTTCGGGTTCGAATTGTGATAGATTAAAACGCGCAGTTTGCCATCCGTGTATTCATTTATCTCGTTCTGCCATTGCATGAGCGCAACGGGGGGCTGCGACAAACGGTCAGTTCCATTGGATACAGTCAACGCAGTAGTACAAATCTCATGTGACGTAGCCCAGAAGGATCAACAAGGTACAAGAGGTGGTGGCAGATGAGCGTTCAATAACGATAGAAGAAGGCAAGTTTTTTGGGGGAAAGCCAATATGGAATCGACAGAATCATCGAAGAAGAGGATTTGTGCTGTGCAGTATAAAAGCGGCGAAAACTTACGACGACTACCAATGTAGGGTCTTTTGCCGGATAATCAGACATGATCAAGGATACAGCCTGGATAGTCTTGCCCATTCCCATTTCGTCGCCGAGAAGACCTCCTTTCCATTGAGATTTCTCCTGCTTCGTCATCCAGTCCAAGCCTTCGAGCTGAAATGTTTTAAGCTTACGCGTAATCGTCTCGGGTTGCACAGCTTGCGTGAGCTTGATTAGAGGGACGGCTTCAAGATCTGTCCACATGGTCATGATCTCAGGATGCGCTTTCTCTAGCTTTTGCCGCTCTCTTACAGCCTAATGTATGTCTTAGTCCTGCATGTAGGTTCAAAAGAATCTCTGAACTTACCCTATCTTCAACCCGTCTCTGCCAAGAGCGTCTGCCTCGGGTGGACGGAGCTCCTCTACGGCCACGACGGCCAGTAGCCGGGTCGGCGGTTGGCGCTGACAAAGGGCTGTTAACCACACCGACGACATCATCAACCTCTTCACCAGCATCTTCGGATTCTTCAAATGCATCAGAACGGATATCAGAGCCGAAAAGAGACGCGTCGTCGCCATGATCAGACAAGTCAGAGTCCTCGCTGTCAAGGATTCTGCGGGAGGCCTTGTCTTTAATAGACTTGTTTGCAGAGTCCCGAGCAGCTCGAGATGGCAAAGATGTACGGTGGTTTGCCTTCAGTCTCTTACTCTTGGGCATAAGAGATTCTATGATTTCTTCCTCATTAAGGGACTCCTCTTGGGACCGATCGCCATCTACATCCGGAGGAGTAGCCCGAGATAGGAAAGCCTTGTGGCCTCTTCTGATGGACCTTCGAGACATAGGTATGTCGAGTTCTGGGACGTCGTCCGGATCTGGCGAATGCTCTTGGCTTAGATCAGAAAGCAAAAGTTCGTCTTCGGAATCTTCGATCAGACCTTTTCGAGCTCGTCTAGGTCTGCGAGCCTCTTCTTGGTCCTCGCCATACTCTCGCTCTTGTAACTTTTGAGCCAAGAGAGCATCAGCTTCCACGAGCTCGTCAACTTCCAAGCGCTTCCGCTTTCCCTTGGATGGTTCCTTGGGCTGATAAGTAGGTATGCTGCTGCTAACTCTACTTGGACGTTTGGAAGATCGTTCCTCTCTCACCAGGGATTCTGCAGGTGTCACAGCCACGCTCGTGCCTGGTGTGTCATACTCGCTAGACTGGTCGCGCACACTGGAGACGGAAGAGGCGATTGACGAGCGGCCATTGACTGGAATCACGACTTTCTTCAGTACCTGCTGAGGAAGCTGATTCCTCTTCGCCTTTGCATATATAGGCTCTTGAACCAAGTCCATGTCTTCAAATTCGGCGGCTGCGGAAATTTTGGGCCTGGATTGATTGGATGGTCTGCCTGCCTTTCGACGAGGAGATGACGATTCGGGATTCACGGCTGGAGTAATGGTCAGGCTGTATTCGTGATTGACTACTAAATGATCAAGCAGCGACTCACGAAGATGAGGGGACGAGCGGGCAATTGCCCTTGCGGCCGCGACTTTCCTGGCCATGACCGGAACAGAATAGGATCCTTGGAAATATGGCCCTTTGTAATGGCGTTTCCTGTTACACTAACAGACAAACCACGAGGAGAGAGAAAAAATTTCAATTAAAGGCAGACTCTGACTCTGGAAAATTTGAGTGTCAAAGCACCATTAAAGGAAGTGTAGAAGTAAGTAAGGGGTTCGCCCAGTGATAGATTAAAGAATCTAAAGGATTATTTGCCACACTTTCTACGACGCGTTCTGAGGGCGCGTAAAGTGATTTTCCCGCTATGAGTAAAGTCAGTCACCCTTTCCCAAATCAAACACGAGCAAGAGTACAACATACTCCATCTCAACATTCTCAAACATCACACTCCGCACTACTCTCACTTTGGATCTGGAGCAAGACGTTCGATATTACACCTACATTTCTCAACCGCACAGAAGCCTTCTTTACTACTAATTGTAGCCTGTGGCAATAACAATGTACGCTCGAGGTCCCTCCGCCAATGCATACAGTATCTAACGTTGTGACCCAGGGCAGGACGAAGAGCAGCAAACAATCAGATCAGGGGGCCCCAGTCGGCTCTCACTGACTTTCTCGCCTCGAACAACATATCTGCTGCTCAAATCTCTGCAGACTATGAGCGTCGCCAGAGGGAAGCTCGACGGCAACAGGAACAGGAATCAACCGCGAATGGTGAATCTATCGACCAAAAGGACGACGAAGAGCGTGTAGAAACGGCGGCTCAGAAGAAGAAGAGAAAACGGCAGCAGGAGAAGACTCTAGCCAAGATCAAGGAGAGCAAAGACTACAAGCGCCAAAAGAAACGCAAGGATGAAGGCTCTGATGGCGAGAATGATGATGTTGCATGGGACATGTACACGAGAAGGAAGCCATTACCTGGTCAGCTGGAGAATTGCGAGAATTGCGAGAAACGATTCACTGTCACCGCATACAGTAAGACAGGCCCAGATGGCGGACTCCTTTGCACCAAATGTTCGAAGGAGCAGGAAGATCAAAAGAAAAAGGATCAGAAGTCGAAGAAACAGGCTGTGAGTCGAGACAAACGTCGACATGTCCAGAGCAATCTTTTGGATGGTATTGTGCAGATCGGTTCCAGGACACTACAGGAGCTCTGCATTAAGGTACTGCGCCTGACTGATGCGGCCATACTCCAGCATGTGTAATGTCCTAATCCTGTACAGGAAGTTGCGAACAACATCCACGAAGTCGAAGAATTCGGTGACCTGCCGCAATCTCTACTGAATCGCTTAAGCCAAATCCTATCCAGGAGACGTGTTATTACGTCCCGAACCCTTGAGCTTTTCCTTCGTCCCGATCTTGAGACTATAGATATCTATGACTGCGGCAGTAAGTTCCGCTCGTTGTAATTACAGGGTTTGGTTGACGCTCAACAGAACTTGAGACCGAGGATTACATCAAAATTTTCTCGGTGGTTCCAAAAGTACAGAATCTTAATCTCCGAAACGCCGGGCAATTCAAAGACGAGGTTGTCGACTATATCATCGAGCGTAATGTTCCCCTTAGAATTTTACAGCTTGAGGCAGCGAACCTAGTGTCCAATGGGAAGTGGGCAGAATTCTTCGAGAATTGTGGGCTTCGGCTCGAAACTCTCAAGTTGTCTTGGCTCGATTACTCCATGGATGAAGATACTTTCATGTGTCTGATCCGCCACTGTCCTAACATCAAACGCTTGAAGATGAAGAAATGCTTCCGGCTTGGGGACGTCGCCCTTGGTGTTATGACCGAGTTGAGGCAACTGGAGCATGTGTCTCTTCGCTTTCCAACGGCAACTACCCCGGGTGTCCTTGCCGATCTTATATCATCTGTCGGTCCAGGCCTTCGTACACTTTCTCTCGAAGGGTTCAGCGATGCCGATGACGACGCTTTGTCCATGATTCATTCCAATTGCACCCAGCTAAGCAAATTACGATTTACCGAGAACGATTGTTGTACCGACGTTGGGTTCGCATCTCTCTTTATCAATTGGTCAAATCCGGCCCTTGCCTTCATCGACTTTTCCAGCAACCGTTCTGTCGATTATGCAGTACCTGACGGTCCCGAAGATCCCGTCGGACTCGCATCTGGGGGTTTTGAGGCGTTAATTAGACATTCTGGGTCCCGTCTCGAACGGTTAGATATCAGCTCATGCCGTCACATCACCTATGAAAGCTTTTCTAGAGTATTCGATGGCAAGCAACAGTACCCCGTCCTCAAGGACATCAACATCTCATTCTTAACGAAGATTGATACCTCGATAGTCGCTGGAATGTTCAGAAGCTGCCCGGAGCTGATCAAGGTTACAGCGTTTGGATGTTTCAATGTGACCGAAGTGGCAGTACCGAAAGGGGTAGCTCTCATTGGAGTGCCGAATGCACAAGACGCGATCGTACAGGAAGGCGAAGTTGACGCTGATGTTTGGAATGGCCTCACAATGTGAAGCGTGAAGAGTACATTGCTGAGACGCCAAACATCAACGAATTCAACCTGCCTCCTTCACAATGGTTTCCTTGGCTGTCAGAATACTTGTAGATAGCTCCTAGCGTAGAAAAACCAGGAGGCAAAGTATCTCGGTTGAATCACAGTTCCTAAACTGCTAGGTCGTAGATGTACCTATCCCGTCTCCTGGTAACATGTTCTGGCAAAATATCAAAGTACTGCCTCTTTTGCAACGCAACAACTTTGGTCAAAAGTCTTTTGACTAACAAGGTTTACAGTCAAACTTTGTGCTATATCATTTCCAATCTGCTCAGAGAAAGACTTTGCTTACTTTGAAAGTTTCGCTGTAGGTCGTTTCACTGTTGAGTTGTGCTATGTTGAAAGCAACGAGTTGTTGATAATCGGTCGGCAGCCCCTGAGTTTTACTTCTTGCTAGGACATCAAGACAACTGAAGGGCAAGGAGTTTGATCGAAGGCGCGAGGTATGGGACACGATCCCTTTCTCTGACCATTTCAAAAAATGGCTGAGAGTGCATGTATATCACTTGTTGATGTATACCCTAGAACGGCCGATTAATTATGATGAATAATAATGTTACATGGGTAATGTGCCGCTCCAATATTTAGACCCTAAGAAACCGGGGTCCAAAGGTCGGCAATATGTCACACTGCATTGTGCTGTGTTCAATCATGCCGTCTCCTGACCCAACCATCCACTTCAGCCTCTTTACCACCCTCCCAGACAATCGTTTCCTCAGCTTCCGGAGCAAGAGGACCAAAGGTATCCACCTCTTCGACCTCATCCTCGTCTTCCTCCTCGATGATCTCGCCACTAGTTCTTCCAGCAGCGCTCGCACTTCTGCTGCCACCCACACTGGAATCTCTTGGTCTGCCGGCAGGAATGCCACCATTACTATTACCAATGGAGAGCATTGGACCCCGAAAAGGCTTCTTCTTCCGCTTTGCGAAGACCAACCCGCTAGGAGAGGCGAAGTTGGCCGGTTCATTGTAGTTAGGCGCCGCTCGGACGAGGCGGATGTTTGAAGGGAACGCTGTCACAGTAGGGGTGGCGGGGAGAACTTTGACAGAGGTGTGCGGAGAACGTGAGGTTTTGGAAAAGGGAACAGAAGAGTGGACCGAGTTGGAAGTAGACGAGGTGGAAGACGCTTTCGAGTGGGTATGGACATGATGAATGCTGCGGATGGAGGATACTGAAGAGGAGGTAGACTTGCGGCCACGGAGACCGCCAGAAGATCGGCGATACGAGGACCGAGGCGTTATTGGAGCAGGAGACAGAGAAGACCTATGTTTGGGATTTGGTATACCAGGCCGAGGATATGAAGCGCCAGAAAGCTGGCGTGTAGGTGTGGCAGCTGATCGGCTTGGAGTCCCATTGTTTAGCGTACGGCGGGGCTCGATGGGGCTCTTTCTCTCCTGTGGAGAGTTTTTGAGCGTCGAAGAATCGCTCCTAGAGATAGGGGATTTGGCCCTCTTGGCAGATTCCATGAACCAATGCTTGATGGATGCCAGCTGGTGGAAGAAGGCGTGTTGGCGCCGACGATTGGGACGTCTCTTTGACATTCCGTTCGGCGGCGCCAGAAGGTCAGAATTCGTAGAGACCAGTTGGAGCGTGCTACCTGGACGGGATTGCCTTCTCTCTTTGGGAGGAGGAGGTGGTCGACGCCGAGAAGAGCTCGCTGAACGGGAACGTATCGAGTCTTTCTCGATTGGCGGAGGAGGGACAGGAGAGCCAGGCGAATCAAGAGTGCTCCCTTCAGGCAACAGAGGAAGCTCAGGAAGAATCAGTTGAGCTTTGTTTGTTTCAGTAGAATCCAACTACTTATATGTTCAGTCGACTTACGAGTGGGTGTGCTGCGCCTTTCCCGCCTCCCTCGACTTCGTGAAACATCAGCACTCGGTGAAGGGGAAAGACCCTCTTCATCCACTTCTCTTAAAGGTCCTGCTATGCGTTCCAGACGACTGCTAGCAGCGCTAAGCCTTCGAAGATTTTTCGCCTCCATCTCTCGCTCCCTTCGCTTTCTTTCCCTCCTTTTCTCTTTACGCCCCTCTTTCTCGATCAACAGGGCCCACCAGCCAGCCAAAGCATCGCAGCGCTGAGCAAGAACATTTTCAATGACCTTGTCCACATCAACCCCAGCACTGCGCATACGCTCCAACGTCTCTTTTTCCAAATTCGTAGTAAAGGGTAGAGGCTGAGTCAACTTTAAAATAGCTTGCTGTTGCGGAGCGTATTCCGACAGAAAGGGATTTGTCAAAATATCAGCAATTCCAGGTCGAAAGAGTGGTCTCTTCGAGAGGAGTTGGCTAATAAGAGATTTGGCATCCGGCGGAAAGGTGTCAGGAAAACTTGGCTCGCTCGAAAGAATCTTATGCTTCGTGATCATGTCATCGTCGTCATCAAAAGGTAGCTCTCCGGTCAGCAGTGCGTAAAGTATTATCCCAAGACTCCAAACATCAACCTTTTCTCCAGCGTATTTTTCTCCTTTTAGCATTTCCGGCGCGCTATAGCAGACAGTCCCACAAAATGTCTGTAGATAGCTCGATTTGCCTTCGTACTCACGTGTAAAGCCAAAATCACACAATTTGACGTTCTCATTTTTGTCCAGCAGGATGTTCTCCAGCTTTAGATCTCGGTGGACACAGGAAAGGTTGTGTACGTAGGCAACGGCTCCGACGAGCTGGGTAAAGATACTCTGGACCTTCTCCACGGGTATTGCCCCATGACGAAGCAGGTAGTTGTAGAGCTCATCCCCTGCCAGAAAACAAATCAAAAAATCAGTGGGGCTCAAGAGACAACATCAGATATCATAGTCACACCAGGGCAGTACTCCAGAACGAGCCAGACCAGATTCTCGGTTACAATGACTTCGTACAATCGAGCAATGTGAGGGTGTAGAAATTGCCGGTGATGATGGATCTCGCGGGCAAGATTCGAGTCGTCCTTGTTGGCTGACTTGAGCACCACCTTATAAATGTTTTAGCGATGATTATAGATTCCAAGAACATAAGTTGCACCTTGGACCCGTTGGTGAGTTTGTGCGATGCAAGGTAGACCTTGCCGAAAGACCCCTTGCCTATGAGGCGGCCCAATGTATAATTCCCAACTGTCCGTAATTCTTTCGACGAGAACTCTCTGTAGTGGGCGACGGTCTCAGTATATTCCTTTGAATATGTCTTCGGTCACAAGGGCGCAACATACTCCAACAGCTCATGGTAGGAATTAGCGAGCTGTGGGTCCCAGATGGTCAGCGCAAAAACAGGTCAATTGGGGAGAGAGCAGATAAAGCAAAAGTTTGAAGGTCCACGGGGATATTTGGCACTGCTGACCTTGTTTTTCTGAGTTTGCAGCTCTGCCTTGCTTCTGACAGCCGGCATATGTCACAGCGTGAGTGGTAGGTCAGACGTTATCCGCTCTAAGACCCTTGGCTCGGTATTCGGGCGGAAAGCAGCAGGCCTCAAGACGGTGGGAAGAGGGGAGAGTCTGTAGAGAGGGGAGAATATGAAAATCATTGGGATGAATGATTAGTCTAGGTACCTAGGTAGGATTTGGGCGGAAATTGGAGTTGGGTTTTTTTGGGGGGGAGGGGTTTTTGCCTCTATTATTTCTGCGCGGCCATTCACATCCCTGCCGTGACAGCGGACTCGCGGGTTTTGCACCTCGCCAGATTTCGCCTTTCTTAATCCAGTGTATCTGGTACTATCTATGGATAGAATTGCTACATTGCAGAGGCCGCTCGTGCTCACTCGTCATGATTCAATCGAGGAAGCTGGTGGTGATGAGATAAATAAAAGCCAACGATTTCTACTGTGGCAAATCACATTGTTGAAGCCCGACTCTTTTTGACTGATCCACGTGACATCAAATGCATGAACGCCTTCTGCAAAGGAGGGACGCTGGTCTTCTCGGATGCTCAAAAGCAACACAAAGGGCTCTTTCCAGATACACAATGTAGCCTTGTAAGCCCGAAGCCGGTAATGCTTCGCTGAGTCGGATTCGTTGTATCTTGTAAAGGAATCCCCTCGTTGGGAAATCCGGATGTGGCCGATGCCGAGTTGACAATATTCACATGAAATCATCGTCGCTGCAAGATATTAGAAGAAGCACCGGAAAGTATACAAAATACTGCAACGACTCACTCGTCAACGTCGGCCCCATAGCTTGTTGTGTCCGCCTTGAAGCTCGTGTCACGATTGGCTACCAATGTCGCTTTGCTCTTAGCAGCTTTGGTTTTCTTTCCGCCTTTCTCTGATGCTTTTTCCTCCTTCATCTTCTCGTTGGACAGCGTGGTCAGACCGCTAGCTATCTTCTTGATCTGATCGCTCGGCAGATCCTTGACTATTTGCTTGGTGAATTCTTGCATGAAAAGGGTGTACTGGGCCTTCTTTGAGTTGGATGCCAATATGGGCGTGAGGGTCTCGCGCAGCTTCAGGAATTGGTCTTTCGTGTTTGGGTTGAAGAGAGGAAGCACGGAAAGATCCACGGCGCTCGAGGGATCCGACAAATCTGCGGCCACCACAGCTTTTGTAGCCGACCGATCCTTTTTGATACCAATGTTGCCAAACATGTCCTCGGCGTGCTTCAGGTCCGAATCCTGTTCTGTTTGTCGTAATCTTGCGCGAGCGGTCGCCTCATCCTCCTCCTCGCTACTCGATTCCTCCTCTTCCTCCGCCTTTCTACGCATGGTAGCCATCCTCTTCTCCTCTATCCTCTGCGCTTTTGACTTTTTGTTAGCAGCTGCTTCTGCATCTGCCTTGGCTTTGGCCTCTGCTGCTTTTTTGGCCTTTTCACGTTCGACCTCGGAGTCCTCGGCGGCATCCCATGACTCGAGAACCTGATGAATTTTGAGCTTGATGTTATCTGAAATAGCGAGGCTGTCTATGTGCATACATCGCTGTCGTCTTCCTCATCATTGAACTTCGATCGTCGAGCAATAGCCGGAGGCGAGGAATCGGACGAGCTCTCATCCTCGGAGTCATCGTCTGGATTGGGCAGATATCTGCGCGTCAGCGTTACTGCTTGCAAGAATCATACCATGGAAATGCCTTGCAGCAAGTGTGTGACAGGGATCAGGTGGGGCCGACGAACCTCTTCGCCGGTTTGCTGGCGGCATGTCCGCAGTTGTAGATTAAGAGTACGGAAAGGAAAAGCTGGGCAGCTTCACTGCTGCGCGTGTCGTGTATAGTGATACCACTAGACCAGCTCTGTGAAGTGTGAAACCGATGATGTTCTGTAGGAAGGAAAGTTGTTGTGTGCGACAAAGACTACACTTTAGCACTAGCGCTCATGCGGAGAGGACGTTTACAGAGACCTTATGTACGAGTACTCAACTCCTCCAGTACTCCAGGGGCAGCCTGGATACAATCTCAGAATTGGGATGAGTAAGTTCATTCTTACTTTTGTTATTGGTTTAGGTCAATTTTGGGAGTGGGTTTCATAATACTACGGACGGGACTGCTTGAAGCTGCCGGAGAGGGCCAACTGGGTGTGTAATTTGTGGCGTTCGAAGGCCTCGGTGGCCTAGGTGTTGGCTATCCATTTCTTCAAATATTGACCGATGTTCGGAATTTCTCACCAGCAAAGATGGCGGATGGGGTCTCTTTGCTAAGCTCCTCTTCGATCCTGAGAATCTGGTTCAGCTTGGCTAGACGCTCAGACCTAGCAGGTGCCCCTGTCTTGATCTGCCCGCATCGCAATCCTACGGCAATGTCCGCGATTGTAACGTCTTCCGTCTCCCCAGAACGATGCGAAACCATCAAGCCCCATCCTGCTGCATAAGCGTCTTTGGCAGCCTGGATCGACTCCGTGAGCGTACCTATCTGATTGACTTTGAGTAGCAAGGCGTTACAAGATTTTAACTCGATCGCTTTCTTGATGAATTCGGGATTGGTAACGGTCAAGTCGTCTCTAGAAACGGTCCTTTCGTCAGCACTCCAGCTGAACGAACAGCTCAATGGATTCTTACCCAACAATCTGAAAGTCCGATGTCTTGTAGAAGTAACTCCATGCCTCCCAGTCATCTTCTGCGAAGGGATCTTCGATGCTGACGATGGGGTAGTTGCTGGCCAGAGACTTGTACATGTCTGCAAGTTGCTCGTAGGTGATCCATTTGCTCTTGTCGCTATCAGGGTTCTTGAAATCCAAATCGTATTTCTTTGCGTCTTCCTTGTAGAACTCGCTGGACGCGACGTCCATAGCGATCTTCACCTGCCCTTTGTATCCTGCCTTTTCGATAGCCTCCGTAATCAAATCTAGGGCCTCTTCTGCGGTCTGGATGTCTGGTGCGACTCCACCTTCATCCCCAACATTACCTGCGGATTGACCATACTTCTTCTTTGCGAGCGACTTGAGCTGCTGGTACACTTCGCTTCCTTGACGCATTGCTTCGCTGAAAGACGGAGCAGCACTAACGATGTCAGCTATTGGAGAAGTGCATGGCAGGGTTTCCCGAGGCCTGAACATACGCGGGCACGATCATGAACTCTTGGAAAGCCAGACGACCACCGGCATGAGATCCGCCGTTGAGAACATTCATGAAGGGAACTGGCAACACATATGGCTTTTTCGTCCCTGCAAGATCGGAAATGTGGGCGTACAAAGGCACGTTCTTTGGTGAATCGGACCTATCAGTACTAACGAAGGCGGACAAGTCTCCAAAGCCCAAGATGACATACCTTCTTCGCAGCACCCGCCTTTGCAACAGCCAAGCTGACGCCGAGGATAGCGTTGGCGCCCAATTTGGTCTTGTTCTTAGTTCCGTCTAGCTTGTTCAAGAACTCGTCGACCTTTGCCTGGTCTGTCACATCGAATCCTTCCTTGATGACAGCAGGGCCAAGGATTTCATTGACGTTTGCGACGGCTTTGAGAACCCCCTTTCCGCTCCATTTGGATTTATCGCCATCCCTTAGCTCACATGCTTCGTGTTGCCCTGCTCAAATGTTAGCCTCTTGCTTTTCTGCCTTCTTTTGTTCTTTCTTCCCTGTGCTGGCTCCGCTTGGCACGATGCTTCTGTGGAGACCAGTGCTGTCGACAAGGTCTACTTCCACGGTGGGATTGCCTCGACTGTCGTAGACATAGCGTGCGTGGATCTTCTGGATTGCCATGCTGCCTGGGGCAAAAGGAGATTAGCCTGTGAAAAGGAGGACACCAATTCCGAGGAAAGGAAGAACTGCGAAAGCTCTTAATTGACTGGCGTCAACCCAAATCAAATAGCAAGGTGTTCTCGGAGTGAGAAAATAAATGGTGATTTGCGGGCGGGATGAGGAAGCGCAAAGCATGAAGTAACAAAGACAACACGCACGGAAGTAGAGTATATGGCAGACTTACCTTGTCTTGACGAATGTTGTTCAATGAATATCTTAATGGATTCGAAAATGTTTGCGAAGGGACTATTTGCTTTTGACAGCAAAGTTGAAAAGAAACGTGTGACCAAACCGCAAATCTTAGTGGGGTAGTGGGGCAGAACGGCGGCCCGACTTTTCGGCGCTTACCCAAGAGAAAAGAAAAAGCACGGCAACACCATTGTACCAGCGCCATTAGGAATCGAACCTAATACGAACTAAATACACCCAACAATACCAAGGAGCCAAGCCTTTCGGGCAATATTCCGGAGCGACGTTTTCGAAGGAAGTGGGAGTAGATTATATTGGAACGAGAGCCGGACCCGCGTGAGAATTGAGATCCGACGCTTTTGCCGTTGGTTCCTTCGGAGTAGCCAAATTGGAAGGGAGTCGGCCCTGCGGAAGAACGCCAGTACTCGTAGAGACTCTCCATTTCTTTTCCCAGTCACAAGATATTCCATGACCCAATTCGACAACGATCATTGACGATCGAAACTTCAAATATCACAACAGGACGTACGTTTGTGGACAAGAAACACACGAGGGGTAAGAAGATGATGTCAACAATCATTGTGAAGGGATCATAGCTAGATAAGCTAAGTGACATGAGTGAGCAAAAAGTTTATGAAAATGGGATTCGATTTTCGGCTTTTGGTATGGATACTAATGCCTGCAGTTTGAGCGTTAAGAAGAGCTGGAGGCCTGCAATTTGATGGCACTGCTATGGGCAACAAACCCCAGCTTGACGACTAGATTGAGGCTGGGAGCCTGCAGTTTTGTAGCGCTGAGAAGATCAGAAGCCTGCACTTTGATGACCCTTTGAGGACACAAATCCTGTGGAACAGTGGTACAAGTCTGCCAATTGGCACACCCTTGACCCTAATGCTTGCATTTTTACGAGATTGTAACCACCATTATGCTTCAGATCGAGAACTGACTGATTGTTGAATGGTATGGAAGGGAGAAGTGCTGGACAGAGTTGTGACAGAATTGAAGCTTTGTGGGATACCGCAGTTGAATGTATATTAGGCCCATTTCTGCCACATCTGTCGACATCTTGGGGGTATGTATCATTTCGAATGCAAATTTCTTTGCTACTTGGCGTAAACCTCAAGAGTGTCCATATCGCTGATCTCCGTTTCCTCAATCCTGCTATCAGGCGATAATCGCTCTCCATCAAAGGACATGAAGACATCCTTATCTCCACCAATCTGATACCGAGAACGAAAAGCATTAACGACCTTAGAGACGAGAGTAGACTAACGCTTGTTAGCCATTGTACCAAGCAATCAACACACCAATGACGAACCGGCCGGACCTGGAGCTTGAAATCGTCGAGTCCCTTGGCTTTCAAAACGATTCTGACTTGAGTTTCATGATCCTGCACCGCCACGGCTTCCTCCTGCGCGGCCGAATCCTCTTGACCGGTAGTCTCGCTGCGCTTTGCTTTCTTGTAGGCTTCCAATATTTTGGCCGTCATCGCTTCCATATGAATTTGCCCCTCCTCTTCCTCCCACGAGCCTCCTTTCGTGGAGATCCTTCCCATGGCATCAACAGTGATGCCCAAGCTTCTGCACGTCGTGACATCAAAGACTCGCTTTCCCCGCCACGTCAGGAAGACCGTGTCTGTGAAATCGGTAGTAAAGTTCTGCCGGTTTGCCCATGCCAGTCTTACGTCTTTCAATCGCTGCGACACTCTTCTGCTAACGATCAATGGGATTGTGTTGTCAATTCTCGAGGTTATCAATATTTGAAGAATTGGATCTGGCTGTGAGGTTGGAGGCATTGGTTGGAGCAAGGACACTTGGCCCTCTTGAGGGTTTACGGTTGTAGATGCTATGTCTTCCTCCAGACGTTTTCTTCGGGCCTTTTCCCTGGCCTGACGAGCCAACTCCGGGAACTCCTCATCCGATACTGGTTGGTCATCCTCTTCAGGAGGAGCTGCAGGCTTGACAATCGCAGAACTCCAGGTTGTATCTTGCCCGGGTAATGCTGAGGAGTCTTCCTCATCTTCAAGATCAATGATATCAGAAACCTTTTGCTTCTGCTTTTGTTCTTGGCCGACTTTGCTCGCCGCAACCTTAGCTTCGTAGCGCTTGAGTAAAGATTTTGGAGAATGTATCGGCTTTTGAGAAATTGTGGGAGAAACATGGTGACTTTTGGGTTGGGTGGGGCTGGCTTTGCCTTCTTTACGACTGGAGTGACTCGAACTTTCATCGCTACTAGAGTCATCGTCCTCATCATCCTCATCCTCATCCTCAGAAACACGCCGTCTCTTGCCTGCGCGTTCTCCAATTATATTTTGACGAGCTCTTTCTCTCTCTTTCCTAGCTAACTTCCTTTTCCGTGCACGCTCCGCTTCAGCAGCAAGATCGGCATAGGCCTGATTTGAACGGTGAAAGAGATCAGTATCATTGCTCAGGGCTTGGGGCTTGCTCCAGCTTGGCTTGTTGAAGAGAGATCGCTTCCGAGGAGCGGACCCGACGGCACCCTGGGTAGGCTGTTCGGCGATCATACCGAGTCTGTCCGCTTGTTCGAGATCCAGAAAGTGAGACAGGAACTTTTGAAGTCCGGCTGAACGCGCGCTTGGCGCGGTCTCGGCGCGTAGAGTCAACCTCACTCAGTGAGTGACAGTCAGTAAAATGAAAGAAACTTGTGACCAAACCTAATTTACAAGTCCCAGCTCAAATAAAGGAGACTTGAGAACTTCTCGTTGGATCCCATCCTATCACAGTATTCTGAACCTCACAAACTTAGGTCCAAGATATCGATGGAGAACGGCGCAAATTCCGGAAGCTCTGATCCCAGCTCTTTCCTTACAGAGATAATTGGAGCGCCAGTCAAGGTGAAGCTCAATAGCTCAGTGGAGTATAGAGGTATACAGTTCCGGTTTGAGATGTCGGAGCTGTATGCTAAGATTGTGGATCTCCAGGGTACCTCATATCCGTGGACGGTTATATGAACATCTCCTTAGAGAAGACGGAGGAGTACGTGGATGGGAAATTGCGCCGTTCTTATGGAGAGGCTTTCGTGAGGGGAAATAATGGTAACCCTCTGTTTCATATTCTTTGAGTCCGGGCTTTTTCGTTAACCCTCCCTCAGTGCTGTATATCTCTGCCTCGTGAATCAACGATCGGATTTTGTCTCCAACTCTACCATGATCTGCCTAGGCGTTACCATCTGGTGGCGGTGGAAATCTTGGTCCAATACTAAGACTACGCTCGGGAGGTTTGATCGAGGCAGCGAGGTATCAAAGCGAACCATTATCTATCCACCACTTTTCAAAGGCGCTCCAGGTACCGCAGTACTCCAAGCGAAGTATGTACGCCCATGCAATTCCAACTCCCCATTTTCATTCTTCCCAACGTCTGCCGCTCCCGTTGCCTCAAGGACCCTCCTCTTCGTGTCCTTCCCTGGAGTAAGCCTGGAGACTTGATTACACATGGGTGTTATATTTTCGACTCACCGCTAGCTCTTGTCCCTCTAGTACAGCGAATTGGCTCAGAGCTACACCATTTCGGATTTAGCACTTCTCTTTCGAGACGAATTCACGAGTCTGAAGACATGTTTGGGGCAAGGACATGTGTCTTGCTCCTCAGACATGCCCTAAGAATCGAAGAAGGATATTGAAGGCGAAGAAATAACCCAAAAAGGGTGCTTACTATGGTACCTATCCCAAATAGCGTCTGAACTTAGCCATTGAGTGAATTCCACAGATTCTTCCCCGAGTGGCAGTGAGAATAGGGGCTCTGCTGCTTGAATGCTGAATGGCGTGCTTTTAAGCTGTTCCTCAAAGACTTTTCGCCACTGCTCGTGTCGAAAGCGGACATCCTCGTTGCCAAAGGACCATGTGATATCTTTCAGCTTTCCTTCCCATTCGGTGGTGGGCTTCCATGTCATGGGCGCGTTATCTTGACTCCTTCAGCTAGGCTCACAGCCAACTTTCAATCATCGAGTACAAACAGTCTTCAATGTTCTGTGCGTATTTTAGAGTCAGCATTGCCCTTTTGAGGTAAAACCCCTGAGCCATTTCATGGGTTTACCCATATCATGCCAAATGCTCCACCGGGCGAGAGAATTCTGTAGATCTCTTCAAGGGCGTCTTTGTTTGCGAACCTGAGGATGATTAGCAGCAACGGCCCGAGGAACCAATAAGAACGGCCTTTTCTGCCATACCAATGAAATGCCTTGCAAATTGGCCCTACATTAGCGCATCAAGCCCATGTCGGCCGTGTCGTAGAAGTCAATGGTCGCACCTGAGCAGCAATCACAGCATCAACGCTCTGGCTTTCCACTCCCGCCATACTACTAGCCTCGCCTTCTAGAACCTTCACACCCATCAACCCCTTCTTCTCCAATTCTTTCCTCATGTCTGAATCAATTCTTCGGTGTCAGTACCTCGCTTTCACGATACTTCTGTAAGTCATAAGACGAGTCGAGGAGGTAAATGGGGGCCAAGAGGGAATTTCTGGTCAAGACTCAAAACTTGGTATAGATGAATGAAAGACCGCTCGCAGTTGTACGCACCATTATGAGGTTCGACAGCAAGAATCTCAAAATCCTCGTTCCTACCCACTAGCAACTCCGTAAATTTGCCCGTACCTGCTGCAAGATCAACAATACGGGCTCTCTTTACTCCGTTGACTTGAAGGCGCTCGAGGAAACGAGTCACGGCTTCAGGAGGGTAGGAGGGTCGATGTTTGTCATACGAAGAGGCATTTTGAAAACCATTGGTCGAAGCTGATGGTATTGAGGATGCCATCTCTAATAGGATTATTACACAACTTGGTAAAGGCCGTACGTCAGTTAGACATTGGAGTCTTCTCAAAGACCTTGAATATGTGCAGATATGGCACTAGGATCATATGTTTGCAGCAGGACGTTTCTCCGCTAGCGTATGTACTTGGGATATCTAGTGCTAAACTCTACGGTATCTCTCTTCATGCCTGTACCTTACATGCACCCTGGTACCGCGACGCATGGCTGAGTGGATCTCGTATTAAGTGCTCAGTATGCAACCCGGCCATTGAGCCATGCAAAAAGACCCCAAGTCCAGTCTTCCCCATATGTACAGATATTTCTACAACATGACTTCCGATCGATAGAAACCTCCTTTGTACAATCAGCGCCGACAAAAAGCAAACCCCTGAACTCCGCGCTAATTGGGCTGACGAGCAAATCGACATATCTCCATCTATGCGAAGTTGCCTGCCAAACCCATGAAGAACGCTTGCACAGCGAGTTGCAACGACCATAGGCCAACCTTTTTGAAACGCCGCAGCCTAGCTTGATCATCTGTGACATCCTTTGCGAAGGCTTGATAGGTCTACCAGCACGTCAGCGACTCGTCATTCAAGCTTCGCACTCTAGTCTCACCTCTGCTGAAAGATCATCCATCAGACCGCTGTCAAAGATCGTCCAGCTACCATCAAATTCACTAGCTCGCTTAACCACACGGCAATTGATGGGGATGAAGGTTCTGCGCGAGTTCATATAAGCCACTATGGGCCGGATAAGAGCGTTCTTCACATAAGACAGATCTTTCGTGAAGATCGGCACAGCGGCACGGATATCATTAAGATGGACTCTCAGGTCCATCACAAGAAAGCGCTTGTCGTCATCAGACGGACCAGAGTCAGTCGAAGCAGTCAATTCGTCGTCTCTGCGTACATCGATGTCATTGGTTCTAATCGACTCTCGACCTTTCTGGGGGTGTCGACTGGATGTGACAGTGGCCTCCATTCTATCGTAGAAGTCGGACATGACTTTGGCAATGCTTTCATCATTATCTGCTGGGAACATTAGATCCGCTACAATGTCGACGTTCCCTTCATGGATCCAGGAGAACGGTCCTTCCACCCCCCTATTTAAATGATCTATGTTCAAGCCATCTATCCTCAGGCGGCTGTGCTTCTTCCACGGGGTTGCCTGTCCATTTATCTCAAGTCCGCTACCTAGTTGACCGCCAACATGCCCGTGCATCTGACGCGGATGAATTGTGAAGAGCGACTCGTCAAAGGATCCGGACATTATGTTAGCAGATAAAAAGTCGTAGAAGAGCCATTGCCTTCGAAGCTGAGGCAGGTCGCAAGAGAAAATGCTTATGGAGAATGGCCGAAAACCATGAGGTTGATGAACAGTCACCAGCAGATCTTCCAATTTGAAAGAGTTAATTTCAAAGTCACCTGGATTATGCTCGTGCTTGTAGGTCCGAGGGTCCACGTAGTCTCCTGTGTAGTGCACTGACGTTCTATCAATGACACCCCGAACGCCTTTGATCTCTACATCGCGGAGTAAGCCCTTGCTGTTGAACCACTTGGTAAATGAAAGAGTGACGTTGACTGTATCAAGAGACAAATCGAACTGCGTATAATTTGCGTCCTCCTCTTCTTCGTCACTTTTAGCACTGATTGAAATCATTTCCCCGGAGCCCTTCAGTTTCTCTGCGCTTGCGGCAGCAGCCGCAGCTGCAGCCTCTGTTGATGGAGAGCCTTTGCTTACTTTGCCAGCTCCCTGACCTGGCCGCCTAGACACAAAGACATTCTTGAACGTGATGACCCCATCGCCCCACTTGGGGACGATTGCTGATTCAAAGACCACCTTGACACCAGAAGACTTCGTCAGGTAATTGCCCACCCATCGAGCCAAAGTCTCCTGAGCAAAGACTGTATTTACAGCAAAGATAGCAAGGGAGAAGAATGTAGTCGTACCCAATATAATCCAAAGGACATGGCCCAGTAAGAACCAAGAGAAAAAAGCCCCAATCTCATCCGCATTGAAAGGCCGCACGCTTCGGATGGAGAACCACTTGAAACGGACCTTGAGTCGTGACCAGAAGCCAGTAGCAGCCGCAAGAAGCTCTTCTCGACTTGGTCTGTGGATGTGTGAGATATCTGGTAGGCGGTCCCTCAAATGTTTATTTGCAGCGCCTTTCATAGTACCAGGGTATAAGGACGCAGAGGAGGGTTCAGGCTTGTCAGGCGTGGTGGCATGCCGAGTTTGTATCGCATTTGGACCATCTAGGGCTGGGGATCTGTTTTTCTCTTGTCCAGAGTCTTTTCGGCGCAAGCCATACGTAGAAAACCGCCTATCATCTCCCCAATGGAGACCCAATAAGCCGCGTTTGCCTTGGATATCCGACCTCTGCTGGGCTGGACCCAGGTTTCTTCCACTTGAGAATGGCATTACGGATGCAGCCCAATCATGCAGAGGCCCCAAGGTCAGGATTGTTGGGGCGGTCGTAACTCCAATCGATCTTGGTAAGGTTCGAAATATGGGAGGACAAACATAATCTGGCAACGATATTGGTCTTGCGGTGGCAGATGCATGTCTCCAAACCCTGTGATTGATAAGAACATTAGACAAGGGTGTTATCTGAATAGCAAAGCAGGTCGCTCGCGTGCCCCAGACAGTGGCGCACAGCTTTTGTCGTACATTGCTGCTCATCCTTTTCAGACAATCATTAATCTTCCCTTGTGATCATGGTCACAGATCTATCGATGATTATTCGAGTGATTTCTTCACCCGAAAGAGATGATGAAATTTTGTGAAGTCTAACGACAAAGCACGATAATGCCGTTGAAAAACAAAACTTTGCCCACGGAAACGGCAAGATCTCGGACTTAATTTTCCGCACAACAGAATCGCTCTAAAGTAAAAGTACATCTTGACTCGAGATCGCAAAAGCACAATACACATTTACGCTACCTTGAGATGCCTGCGCCTACAGCACTGCTTAGGCGGCCTGAAAAGCTTGCAGAAGCAGAGGCAACACCATTGCCTCAAGACAGTAAGATTCTACAAATCTACGGTTTTTGGCTCTCTATCTAATTCGCTACAGATGACTATGGAGACGAAATTCTGGTCGATGCTACCAGCGCCACACCCTCAGTCCAACAGGATACAGCCGCTGAGCATCTGGATTCCGCAATGCAGGTTGACGAAGAAGGGCGCCCAAAGTTCCCACCCGCAAAAGAAGCTGAGAAGTCCCTTAAAGTAGAGGCACGAAAGGTCTTCATCCCACCCCACCGTTATCCCGCCCTCAAATCGAAATGGCCTAAGATATACCCTCCGCTTGTTGGACATTTGAAGTTGCAGGTGCGCATGAACGTATCAGCCCGAGCAGTCGAAATGAGAACCTCATCGTATACCGTTGATTCAGGAGCACTGCAGAAGGGCGAGGATTTTGTGCGGGCGTTTTGCTTGGGGTTTGATTTGGAGGATGCTATCGCAATGCTGCGGCTCGATGATTTGTATATCGAAACGTACTATCACCCCCAAGCCCCTAACGGAATGGGCACAGCTTCCATGGAGACTAATTGATAAATAGCTTCGAAATCAAAGATGTGAAGACGCTGAATGGAGAGCACAAAAATCGAGCAATTGGACGTATAGCGGGAAAAGGAGGTAAAACCTCACGACGGGACTGTCTCCTGTTTGACTTGCTGATACCGGGGTTCTTTCTAGGCAAGACAAAGTTCGCTATCGAAAACGCGAGTAAAACTAGAGTTGTGCTGGCGGACCAGACCATACATGTTTTGGGAGGGTTCAGAAACATCCACATTGCAACAGAAGCCATCTGTAAGATTTCCATCAGGCATTCCTTGTGGAGGTCAAGGGGTGCAGTGTCCTCGGCCATTTGAGTTAATATATTTGCAAAAACAGGTAGCCTGATATTAGGAAGTCCACCGGTAAGTCTCCAGCTACTCTCTTGTTTAATGCAATTGCCTGACATACTTTATCTTTCAGGGCAAGGTATACGGCAACTTGAGAACTGTGGCCTCACGTATGAAAGAACGCTTTTAGTCGCGTTTGCGCAAACAGGGTGCAGTTTGCAGGGCATTAGCATGCAGTTCTGAGCATGAGGACATGTGGATCGGGATAGAGTCAAAACCAGAAGTCATGGACAACAATGGAGTCGGCGTCGGAGAACCGAAATCAGGTATTTAGCACACGCGGAATCCGAAGTTGTTGCGGTGAAAAGGCATGGCAGGGGCGAGGTAGAAAGGTTCAGGGCTATGGCTAAATCGAGGTCTGGAGTCCGTGTAGGCATACTCAAGCGCTCAGATACATACACTATTGCGCCAGTGCGATGTCTCGTCGACACCATGCTACGTCGTGAAACCTCCAGGTTAGTCTCTCTTCAGTGGGAAGAACGCTTCCTCAATCCCTTCCTGTGTTATGACAAGCATTTGCAACCCATCCCCAACCTCGATATGGCGCTCGGTCGCGCTCGTGAACGCATCCCTTACAAGCTGCTCCACTTCATGTCTTGGCAAGGGCTCTGCCTGCCGTGCCAACAGGTCGTGACCTTCGCCAGTACTCGGCAGATATTGATTCTTGAAGTTGACCTGGTTATCCAAGAACGGCATTATCAGGCTAGCTGCAGCCCCCGCGGCTCTACATTGCTCACGCTCGTAAGAGCCAACTGGGTCGTAGCTGTACAGCGCCCCTTTGCCGTCCTCGTCCAATCCACCTAGGATCGCCGTCACGTAGTAGGGGAAAAACCGTTTACCGTAAAGAATTGTAGCTAATCTCTGGGCACAAGCCTTGACAGACATCTTCTTGCCATGCTGGTATTTGTACATCTTGACGATTGCGTTGAGGCGTTCCTTGAGAGCTGTACCGTCTGCTGCGAAACCGACAACCGAAAGTATGATGTGTGCACCCTCTCCTGTTTCATCATCGCCACCGATCCTGAATACCTTGGGGGAGTAACGAGTATTGATGCTGTAGCCTGAGGTTAAACGAGTATCGCCTGCAATGATGGCAAAATCATTGCCTGTGATGCCTAGTGTAGAGCCGCCATTGTCTGTGTATCTGGCATAATTAGACGGTGGCATACAAGCAATGATACCCAGTCTTACGGGTAGAAGGCGTGTTCTTTATTACCAGTTGCCCCATTGTTGTGTGAAGCTTGGGAGAAGGAGTAGCTTGGAATTGAAGTCAGGGTTGGATTCGCGCCGAGTATTGACGCCATACTGGAAGATCTATGGCTGCTGTAAGCAAGGTGAGTAGATCGAGGCGATTTCGGAAAGCGTGGAAGATCTGAAAGGTAGAAGGTATGATGGCTTATGATCCAAGCAGCTTGCCAAGGCCGCTAGCGCAACGACGCGCAAAGCACCTGCCTGAGCTCCCAGCTTCGTTCCCAGCGCTGAGACCAGCTTCATGATACCCTCCTTTCAGGTCTTCTCATTTTTACGTTCGAATCTCCGCCTCTACTGTCGCCATGGTTAGTCATTTCGAACAAGCGAATTTTGAATATGAGCTAACAGCGTTCACATAGACATCCATTGGTACGGGGTACGACCTTCAGAATTCTGTCTTTTCACCTGACGGCAGGAACTTTCAGGTGGCCTTGATTACTCGTGCTTTCCAGACCTTTCGGAACTGATCCTCTTTTTCAGGTCGAGTACGCGGTCAAAGCAGTCGAGAACGGAGGTACCTGCGTCGGCATTCGATGTAAAGATGGTGTTGTCTTGGCAGTAGAGAAGATTGTAACCAGCAAATTGTTAAAACCTGGTGCGAACAAGAGGATAGCAACGGTCGATCGCAATGTCGGTGTGGTAAGTGCACATTCATGGGCGAGCCTAAGTGATGGAACTAATATATGCAATCATAGGTATCTTCAGGCCTTGTCCCAGATGGTCGACATTTTGTATCACGAGCACGAGATGAGGCTTCATCATGGCGGTCGACATACAAAGCACCTATACCTCTCGCTGCTCTTGCCGGTAGATTAGGTGGCTACGTCCAAGCATACACACTTTACTCAAGTGTCAGACCGTTTGGTGTAACAGCCATAGTCGGTGGCTGGGATTCGGAAGCAGAGCTGGGAGTAGATGGACAAGTGGGTAGTGGGCCAAGCATCGGCGCTGGTGGGAAGGTATCAGGCACTAAGGCTGGAGGTCCGGGCTTGTACATGATCGAACCAAGTGGTCTTTACTGGGTGAGCGTGTCGTTCGTACGAACCTTGACGATGACTAATGGAACGTCTGCAGGGATACTATGGCGCAGCTACAGGGAAAGGTAGGCAGGCAGCTAAAGCGGAACTCGAAAAGCTGGATCTAGCATCGGGCAATCTGTCACTCGAAGCCGGCGTGAGGGAAGCAGCCCGAATCATCTATGTTGCACACGAGGACAGTAAGGACAAAGATTTTGAGCTGGAGATGTCCTGGATTAGCTCGACCGAGGGACCAACCAAGGGAAGGCACCAGGAGGTCCCGAAGGACATCTTAGAGGAGGCAGAGAAGGCAGCCAAGAAGGCGATGGAGGGCGACGACGAAGAGGAAACGACGGCCGCCGAAGGGGAGACGATGGAGGAATGAGCTGGACAGATGCAAATGGTGTAATAATACAATTTTAGCATGCGTCAGGTGCCTATGCGGCGCTTTGTCTGGTACTTGAGATTCCCACTTCGATACTTCAACCTATGTGGCTGCTCACACAATTTTGAAGGCCGTATGTGGACCAATTTTCCTGCTAATGGCGTACATGAGCGTGCATTGCCTGAATGCTCCCTTTGTCATGAGAATTTTCCCTCCGCCCAAACCTGCCTCTTCACGCCCAGCTCAACAGCTACTCTGCCCCAGTCTTCCCCATGACAGTGTCCACCATCCATTCCCGCCCTCGCCCTGCCCTGCTCCTCGTTTAGCAATGTCAACAATCCGAATACAACCGGCACTCCTAGATCCAGTTGCACCTTCATCAAGCCATGTGATGTTGCGTCAGCAATGTATTCAAAGTGCATGGTCTCGCCTTTTATAAGAACGCCAATTGCAATGATCGCTGAGAATGGTGTTGCCAAAGGTGCCGTCGAAGACTTGGACGAGTTTTGTGGAGAGGAGGCGGTGGGTTCTGGCATTGTGAGGTCGGTCAAGGAAGCGGAGGACAGCAGATCCGTGACCGCTGAGATGGGCCCAGTGGGGTTGTTCGAGGATTCAATCTGTGAGGATGTGTACATTCTGGGAAGAAGGAATCAATCGGCATTTTAAGCTGACGTACAGGAGGGGGTCATAAGAAACCTTTGCACAGCGAAGGGCAGTTCATAGCTGCCCGGCACGTCTTGAACCACTATGTTCTCTTCTCTGACGCCAGAAGCTAACAGTGATTTGCGCGCACCCGCCACGAGAGCCGAAACCATTTGTATGTTCCATCTGGCGTGGACTATGGCTATGCGGAGGTTGGAGCCTGATGATGGCGAAGCATTAGCTAGGTGATTTGGGGATGGGCGGAACAGGGCACTTGCCATCGTGAATTTGGGTCTCACCAGGGCCTTTCAGCGATGCCATTATATGCACTCATGTACTGGGCAAATGATGAAAAGAAATCAACAGTTCGGATCGGAAACAAGCGTGGCCAATTGCAATTGCAATCGTAATTCGCTTGGAAGACCACTCCGATCTCGACTTGCCCCACCCAGTTGCGTCGTCCCCCAACAGCGTTTGAACGAGGAAGGAAAAGGGAGCACAACAATTTGGAGTATGCTGTTTTAATTTCATTGCGAATCGTCTATCTATTCGTGACTGCTATCCCATTCCATGCTTTTCGGACCACCCTCACAGCGCCAAAGAAAGGCTTCGTCCAATTGAACTGGCCTCAACCATATTGAACCCGATCCCTTGACCGTCATCATCTACTCCACAGTAACAGATTTGGCCAAATTCCGAGGGAAATCAACGTTGAGGCCTTCACCGACGGCGAGCCAGTATGCGATAAGCTGGAGAGGGATGACGTTGAGTAAACCTTGGAGACAGTCAACGGTCTTGGGAATCTCAATTTTCTCCGTCTGCTCAGATGGAAATTCGGAGTCATTGGGATTGCAAATGACAATTGGTCGACCACCACGGGCAATGACTGGATTGGAGTATTAGTGGACAATTCAAGGCTAGGGCGAATTCATGTGAGAAATTACCTTGCTGGTAAGCGTTGAGCGATTTGGCAAAGATGTCATCGCGAGTGAGAATCATGATAATGGGCAGATTTTCATCAACTAGGGCTAGCACACCGTGCTTCAACTCTCCAGACATGACTGCCTCACAGTGAAGGTAGGAGATTTCCTTAATCTTCAAAGCACCTGTACATTTTATGGTCAGCATGAAGCTCGCCAGCTTTTGGTGGAGGGTGATCTCTTACCTTCCAGCGCGGTCGAGAACTGACTACCACGGCCCAAGAGTAACAAGCTCTTTTGGTGCTTGAGGAATTTGGCACACATGGCCTTGATAGGGTCATTAAGCTTCAAGATCTGCTTGAACTGCTCGGAAACATGAGCCAAACCATTCATGATATCCTCGCGCCTCTTCTGCTTTGACGAACGGTCTTCGCTGAGAGAGAGCGCAAACATCATCATGGCGACGAATTGTGAGGTATACGCCTTGGTCGAGGCAACACCAATCTCAGGGCCGGCGTTGATATGCACACCGCAGTGAGTAAGGAGCGAGATCGACGAGCCAACCACGTTGACAACGCCTACGGTCAGGGCCCCTCGCTCAAGGCAGTACTTCAAAGCCATGAGGGAATCCGCTGTCTCTCCCGACTGAGACACGAAAACGCAAGTGTCGTCGCGGAATACAGGGGCTTGTCGGTCCAAGAAATCCGATGCAAGCTCGACAGAGATGGGGATCTCTGTCAATTCCTCAAAAGCCCCACGAACGGCCATACAAGAATGGAAGCTAGTACCGCAAGCAATGAAGATCAAGCGGCGGCAGCGGCGAATGGTGCTAATGTACTGCTTCAAGCCACCCAATGTGACCTTCTTGTTGGCAACATCTAAGCGTCCACGCATTGTGTTGATGACGGACTCGGGCTGCTCGAAAATCTCTTTCTGCATGAAGTGGTCGAATTTCCCTTTCATGATTTCTTGGAGTTCCAGCTCGAGAGTCTGAATGGCTCGTACATTGGATGTCCCATCGTCCTTGCTAAGACGGTGGATATTGAGGGAGCCTTCGTGAATGTGAGCGATATCGTCGTCTTCAAGGTACAGCACTTTCTTAGTATGCTCGACAATCGCCGAGGGGTCCGAGGATAAGAAGAACTCGGTGGGAAGTGGTTGTCCATCCTCAGACAAGAAGGCGCGGGACTGTGAGCGATGAAGGAGCGATTTGTCCGGGGGTGCGAGGAGACTGGCCGAAGCCTTTTTAATTGCAACATTCTGAGAAGCTCGCTCAGCAGGCAGAGGGCCGTCTTCAGCGTATTCCACATCGACGAAATCAACTTTCATCTTCTTCTGCGTCCTCACGCCCACAACAAGTGGTGAGCCCTTGCGAGCCGCGATAACCTCGTGTGGGTAGTGCACCGATTTGAGGAGAAGACCAAAGGCTCCTTGCAACTCCTTGATGACAGCTTTGGCGAGCACGAGAAACTCGATGTCTGGGTGCGCATCGTATAGATACTTTGCGAGTTTTGCAATACACTCGGTGTCGGTTTCGGTTTCGAACTTGAACCCCTTGCCCTCAAGAAGCACTCTCAATTCCTTGTAGTTGGTGATAATACCATTGTGGACGACGGAGAATTGCCAGCTCGGATCTGATCGATGGGGATGACAGTTGATTCGTGATGGCTGGCCATGTGTAGCCCACCGCGTGTGTGCAATGCCGGCGTGGGAGTCGAAGACCTTGTTCATGTCTGGCTCGCTCTCAGCGATAAGCTGCTTAAGCCTGGCAACCTTGCCAACCTCCTTGAACGCAAGGACCTCATTTTTTTTGTCTCCATCAACAGCAAGACCTGCCGAGTCGTATCCTCTGTATTCCAAGCGCGAGAGTCCATTGACGAGTGTCTCGATAATGTACTTGCGGTCCTTCTCGACCAAGTAGTTGATGTAGCCGAAGATACCGCTGTGAAGACAAAAGATGTTGTCAGCTTTAGGATGTTTACCTGCCAAAAGACCAGATCAGGGCCATGACTAACCACATGTTTGCAATGAACGAGAGGGTGTTGAAGCGAGATTTTCAAAGAAGTAAATACTTGAGTGTTTTTGAAACTGATGAGACCACAGTCAACACGATCTAGTGGAGAAGGTAGGGGGTTGGTCGGGAAGATGTTGAGGTTGTGAAGGAAGCAAGCTTGTTGTTTATAGCTTTGACGGATTTACCCCTGTCAGTGTCACTCCGAAACGACGCGCTAACAGCCCAGCAAATGACATGAAGGCTGAGACCTTGCCCCTTTTCTCTGCTTTCGTGTTTGTCTTCTTACACAACTTTGCACGTACGTGGCGAGACAGGCGCAGTCCAGTTTATGACTACCTTTGTCCTGTCCTGGAGCAAAAATGTCATGGCAAAGAACCAAAAATAGCATGCACATTATACGAGCGCCGAAAGCGTTCCTTGCAGTAGCGCCGCTTGCAAAATGGAGCTTGCATGCTGCTGCATCAAAGGCAGCACCAACCATGCCGGTATCCAGCCTTACCCACTTACGACAATACCGGATATTGAATGGTAGAGATCCGGGAACACGATGTGACCAAGGGCAGAACGACAACTGTGTTCTACTTCCCAAGGTGTCTTTTCAATTCTGGAAATCATGACTTCGACCATGCATTCATTTGCCTGGACATTTTACGGACTGCCGTTTCCTCTAGTAGCTCTTCTAGTAGGCCAATTTTACAATCTTACAGTTCTATAACCCTGTGGTCCTAAGACAGTCACCCTTTGCCACTACTTAGGACTTTGAGCTTTGAGAAGTTTGTGTGACGGCAGGCGATACAGCCTCAGATCTCCAGGATTCAGCTACTTATTAAGCACGTCATCTACTAGACTCGGTGCGTAGATCAAGACCTCGTCCAGCACTCAATTTTCCCTTTATTGTAACTGGCAGTAAGGGAAAGCCGGGAGCTTTGATTTCACCTTCGGTCCTCACATCTGAAGTCCAACTCTTACAGAACTGAGACAGCATTAGCAAACATCTAAACTACAACGGGAACCCACCACCAATGTTGATCAGTGCCTTTCGCAGAAGAAAATGGTGTTCCAGCTCCGCCAATGGCAGCTTTTAGCTTTGAGCAAGCGGAGGATTTGCACCGTCATCTACAGAATACCTGTCACCATGCAACAAGGGCTAGATTCATTATTGCCAGTCCCATATATCGGACATTGCAGACGAAAGATACCGGTCCCAGAGGCGACTGGAAGGGAATGGAAGTTCCGGAACTATGTCACTCCTGTGCTCATATCAATCAGGCTGGCCTAGCCACACTCGAACCCTTGCCTCATAATGATCCGAAGATCATCCACATCTTTGTTTGAGTACTATCTTTCCCAAATACCCGAAGGGGCTTCTGCTCGGATGTGGTCACTCTAGGCAGACCCGTTCGTCGTCACAGGCTGAAGGCGAGATGAGGAATAGTTTCTGCTTCAACTTCAAACTCAGGTTTCCATTGGACTTTGTGTTAGCTTAATACACTTCAGCAATGCAGAAGATGTTCGATTTCGCGAGCGGCGATATTAATAGACCTGTCAAATGGACCTCTGCGGCAAAGGACAGATGATAGAAAACAGCCCTGAGGCTCCGTTTGTAGTCCACGCCTCTGCTCTTGCTTTCGTGTTGAGCGAAGCTGCTGGTAAAGTTGTGCTGCAGCATCCCGAATGATGGCCTCTGGTAACTATTGCCGCTGTCGTCATTGATCAAGGCGCCGCGCGAATTTCTTAGGCTTTGATGTAGTGACATATCCACCAGATAATTATGTTTGTCTTCGTGTACTGTAGGATAAAGGCCCTGTACTAAACCGCGTGAAGGTGTATAGAAGAAGGCGATCCGCCATGATTTGATTCGTTTTCGGCGGCTCGGAATCAGGAATCGGCTAAAATTACGGGGTTTTTTGGGAAATGTGAAAGCAACCGTAACCTCACTACATCCAGTTGCTGCTCATGACAAGTGCCTGCCATTTGCCTACCCTCTGAAACCCAACTTTATTCTGACTTCGCTGCCCTTTTCTTACCTCACTCATGCGAGGTTCATTCACAGACTTGAATCCACCAATCGAATTGTTATCTGCCTGACATTCACTCTGCCGGTGATCGCGTTAGCCCAGACCCCTCCCACCGCGTGCGAAGCCACAGCGCACAATATCTGCTTCCAGAATCTCAAGCCTCCATAATCAGTACATGAGAGACAAACCGGCGGTCACATTTTTTGGGAGAGCTAGTTGGAGCGGCGAAATGGTGCATCTCAAACGGTACAGATAGAAACCATCTCCAAGGATGTCGCGCTCGTCAAAGGGCTTTGCCGATTTCTTCCCTACTGCTCCTTCAGTGCTCCAGCAAAAACGTTCCAAAGCTTCTCAGGATCGCAGAAGACACCAGTCCCCGTCCGTTGGCCTGTCTTGTTCCTCTAGTGCGCTTTCTGCACCTCCTGCTCCCTCTGACGGCGAGGGCGAAATCGACACCCTTGCCCACGGAACACCAAATGGCCATTTCAACGCAATGTCAAGCTCGCTGACGCATGAGGAGAACGAAATTGCGAACAGCGACATCGCACATGAAGTTGGCTCCACTAGCTCTACGAGCACTACATGTTCTATCTTCAGTGCAGTCAACAGAGATGCCAACATGGCGCATCAAGATGAACCACACAAATCCACAAGCCTAACGCCCCTCACCAACACGGACTCCTCCCCTCGAGCGAATGGTAATAATTCGCCGCCCAAAAGGCGAACTCATGATGAGCATCTCTCAGTTGGAAACTCGGCACTATCACCCCCGCGAGACCAAGTGGAAGGACCGTCGATTTATCGAGGCTTGGATTTTGCACGTGCCCAACTGCCAGCCGCGCTGTCGGCACGGCCTGGCAAAGGGGAGGTCAAGGGATTCCAAGCCGTTTACGACCCAGATTTAGACAAAACGCTGAAGGGAAAGGAAAAGAGAAGCCGTCAGGTTCAGTTCAGTCCATTTGGCGAAGAGGTGTGTTTGATTGCAATGTGTACATTTACTTGTTTGTTTCAGGCTTTGGGCAAGCTAATGGAATTTCTTTGTAGGAAGATGGGGCTTCCCCAACAGACCCCCGATTAAGAATTTCTAACTATACCAAAGGAGCTGCAAACAAGCACAAAAACCGCCACCGAATCGCACCGTACTCATTAAAAGCTTACCAGTATGACAAGGAAACGTCGATTGGGCCTGGACCGCCAATTAGAATCGTGGTGACCGGATTTGATCCTCTTACCCCTGTCAACCAAATACGTCATCTTTTCTCTAGCTTTGGAGACATAGCAGACATCACTAGTCACACTGATCCGGAGAACGGTAGCTTTCTGGGTATATGCCTTATTAGATACAAGGACAGTCGGTCGCTTCGCGGCGGGCCGGCCACATCTGCAAGCGCTGCTGCAAAGAAAGCTCACCTAGAATGCAAAGACGGTCAGACTAGGGTTGGTCTCTGTCCTGTTTTTGCTGAACTTGATCGTGATGGGTCTGTGGGCCGGCGTGCACTGGCCAAGGCCAAGGAAAGACAGCGATACAAAGAGAAAAAGGTGGAAATGCCAAAGAAGGAAACGAGTATGGAGATACCGGGGCCTCCTCCATCTGCGCCAAAAGGTCCTTCTGCGAAATTTCCTGTGCGGCCCAACCTGCCACCACCACTAGTACCAACGACGCCATTACCACGATCCACTGCAATACAACAGCCACCTTCGCAATTCGATGCTTCCAGAAAGGCTGCGGAAGTCGACTACCCAGGCTCGATAGAGGAGAAGCCCATACTGGATCAAATTAAGCGCGATCCGTATATCTTCATTGCTCATTGTTACGTGCCTGTAATGCCTAAAACGGTACCACATCTGAAGAAGAGACTCAAGAACGAGAATTGGGAGCAAGTGAGGTGCGACAAGACAGGGTATTATGTGATATTCGAGAATTCGAAACGAGGCGAGGAAGCTGCGGTCAAATGCTACAAAGCGTATCGTTTGCGTGAATTGTTCACCTACATCATGAACATGGAGTGTCATGAGTTTGGAAACCCCAATTACGAAAGAAGCCCCACTCCTGAGAGAGCTATTGCAGAGCAACGTGAAAAGGCAGAGCGGGAAAGGGTTCAAAGGGAGGATGAGCTGGATCTCGAGGAGGAAAAAAAGCAAAGAGCTAAGAACCTCGACCCCGTCAGCGAAGCGGCAGAAGTTCTCAGAACTGAGCTCCAAGTCAAGCTCATGCAGGATGTCCGACTCAAGCTTGCAGCACCAACTCTATATGACTTTCTGGATCCTGACCGGCATGCGGATAAAAGACGGAGACTGAATATCACAGATCCGAACGACAGGAGAGGAAGCGGTTCCAAATTTGACATGAGCGAAACACCGCCAAACGGTACGCCAGATTCGAGGAGCGATGTCTTGATCAATGGCCGTCGGCCCCTGGCGACTTCGACGTTGAACGTTACTACTCTGCCCAGAATTCGGAAAGGAGTCGGTGGTAAGCGAGAGAACGTTGGTTTCACAGACGAACGGCGTAAGCAGAAAGCTCCTAAGAAGATGGCAGTCCGTGGACTTCACCATCGTTTGCCCACATTTCGAGACGATGACGAGGATTCGGAAGATGAACGGCGTACTACTTTCACAAGAGATACCGAAGAGCAGGATAGTAGGCCAGCGAGCCGGATGAGCATTGCGTCAGACATGTCGGAAAACGAGAGCACCAACCCAACACCGAAGAAACCTCGCCGGCACAGTAGAGCTTCAGCATGGAGTACGATGCCTGACGAGGAAGATACTGATGATGTCACGCCAGCTATGACCGATATAGATCAGGAGATTTCTCGGGATGCCAGCAAAGTTCAACAAACGTCCAAGAAGAGAAAACGACTTATCCAGGACATTGCTGACAGAAAGAAGCAGAAGGAAGATGAAGAGTTATTCGGGATTAGCAAAGACGACGGAAATGTCCTTGTGCCTTCTTCGACAATAGAGATCGATTCTTCGGTCACAGGCATCCAGTTCTTTGAAATGGACGGTCTAGCTGACAATCCATCGAAAGATATTAGCGAAACGCCGGACCTCGATTCCGAGAGCAGATTGGTAACATCAAAACAGACAAAAGGAAAGAAGAAGAAGACCAAGAAGCAGGTCTTCGAAGAGCGAGAAGCCCTCAAGAAGCGGCAAGCCAAGGCTGAATTTAATGAGATAATGGCAAATGCTCCGAAGATTGGGGAAATCCAGCCTGAAGTGGTGATTGAACTTACAGAGCAAGCAACAGCTGAGAACGAATGGAGTGCAACGAAGGGGGAACCTCAGCGCACGGTTGCTGAGGATCCGAATGTAGTGCTTGACTTGGACGGATGGCAGCATAATGTCAAAGACGAAGAAGACCTACGATACCTGCGACAAGTCCTGGCTGATCGATCCGAGGCAAGTCTGGGTAATGTCTCCCTATGGGCCTGGAAGCAAAAAGAGATCAAGGCGCTTAATCGTGGTGGTGAGAGGGGCGTCATTAGAGCCGAGACCAACATCGACGGTTATTATGTACCAAACTCCACAGGCTGCGCCAGGACTGAAGGGACCACGAAAATCTTGGAGTCGGAAAAGTCCAAGTACCTGCCCCATCGGATCAAGGTTCAGAAAGCTCGCGAAGAACGGGAAGCCCAGGCGAAGGATGACCCTGTTGCTGCCGCTGCGGAAGCCGTGGCGCTGGCGTTGGCGAAAACCCAATCCAAGTCGTCCTCACGGTCGAACCGTGTCAACAATCGTCGTCTCGTCGCCGATATTGCCGCCCAAAAACAGGTGCTGGCCACATCCAATGGCGAAGGTGACGCGATCCGCTTCAATCAGCTCAAGAAACGAAAGAAGCCTGTCAAATTTGCTCGTTCTGCCATCCACAATTGGGGACTTTACGCAATGGAGAACATCGCTGCCAATGACATGATCATAGAGTACGTTGGCGAGAAGGTGCGACAGCAGGTGGCCGACATGCGAGAACGGCAATACTTGAAGAGCGGGATCGGCAGCAGCTACCTTTTCAGAATCGACGAAAATACCGTCATCGACGCTACGAAGCGCGGTGGCATCGCACGTTTCATCAATCACAGCTGTGATCCAAATTGCACCGCCAAGATCATCAAAGTAGAAGGCAGCAAGCGAATTGTCATCTATGCCCTCCGGGACATTGGGCAAAGTAGGTCTCTTCTTCTTCTACTACCTCTCTTCTTCCCCGAAGCTCACACTAATCTTTGCTTAGATGAAGAACTCACATATGACTACAAATTCGAACGGGAATGGGGCAGCGATGATCGAATACCTTGTCTTTGTGGCACTGCACGTTGCAAAGGCTTTCTCAATTGACATCTTCCTTCATGTCTGACTTTTGTTATATCTACACGTCATGTTGGTAGATAAGTCTTTGGCGGCCAAGTCCATCAGCGTTGCATCAAGCTATCACAGCATCCAAGGCGTTTCTAAAAACGTCAGGCGACTTCCAGTGAAAATCAAGCTGGAAGGGCTGGGTGCTTGGGTCAGCTATCTGGAAGCGTGCGCATTGAGGTCGCCGAAAAATAATGTATACTAAATCACTATCTGATATGATGCTTTTAGGGTGCTTGGATTCCTGTGAAATCCACTGCTCATCCAGAAAAGCATCTTTATCTCCCCCACCTTTGTAGAAGGTCTCCAAAAACCTGCTCTTCAGAAATGGAGAAATATGTCAAGAATGCGAACAGGCTCCGTGCCCTAGCGTCATTCGAATTCTGCTAAAACACCTCGCTTTTTTAGTTGTCTAACCTTTGGATATCCTCGAGCGTGCTTCAATGTTCCATCTGCGGCCTTCTCCAGACATGCACTTTCACCGAATGTCCTTCGGATGGTCCATGCTCGGTCAGACTACAACCGATGAGCCAAGACCCTTTCCATAGATTGGCTTGACTGCTTAGAAGACAAGAAGCAGATTCTTGCAGATCAAGCCGTAAATGTAGAGTAAAAATCACAAGTATGAACGGAGACAGCTCACCAAGATGACTGGGCAACAGAAAATTGGCAATCCCCTCCTTTATCCTGTACTCATGCCCACAATTGCCGCATACCATCTTACCCTCGCGAACTTCGGTCTCGAGAAGAAGGGTGTGCAGGTCTCGCATTACCTTGTCGTGGGAAGCTTCCGTATGGGAGGTCGTGTTGACGATGTCAGGAGTTGAAAGATCCGTCGTGGGAGCGGAGATTGTTGGCTTTTCACTGGGAACGGTAGTGAAGCCGAGCTAAAGATGAGAAGCGGTAAGTGGTGACTAGCTCCATAAACAAAAATTGGAGGGTTGATCGAGACGTCGTGATTGAGGAAACAGCGATAGAGTATAGACGTGGTGCAAGGTCATACTTATTGGAAATATGTATGCAAAGGAGAACAGCAAAAATTCTGAGTGGCTGACACGAGGCACATACCTCGTTAGCAGTAATTTTGAATGCTTCCCAGTCTATCCTAGGAAGGATGTTCCGTAGAAATGAAGCATTGTACTCAATGTCCGACTGCTCGAGCTCCGCGTCTTTAAAATGGAGGGGAAAGGAAAGGGAAGAAGTCTTGCATGCTTTGACGGCACAGGTCAGGAAGTTCACTGTCAGAATCTTCATGTTCAAATCCCTGTACTCCCAAGAATTGAGGTACAATGAAATTTCTCCCCTTGTGCTGTTCCGAAGACGGCGATGGCTTTCTGAGAAATTCTGGTTTCCTACCACTCCCCCAACTCAGGCGGACTTGGCAACAAAACTACTCTCGTATCATATTTCGCTTCACCACTTCGCCTACTGGTAATATGCTCTATATCTGCACATGTCCAATTATTCGCCATGCCGTCTCTTCGTACCAAATCCTCTCACTTAGCACCGTATTGCTGAACCCATAAGATCACGATCCATTCCCATTTCTAGTGCTCGCTCATTTTCGCTGATATGAGCCCTTCTAGGATTACCATGAATTGCTCCAACAGTCCATCCAGCTCCCCCTTTGCCTGCTACCACAGTAGCGAGCTGTACAGATCTTCACTCGCCATGACGGTCACGTACAATGCCTCCTCTCCCATCGTTTGCCCTGCTAATGCCGCGAGAGCACCACTCACTACACTCTCTACTAATGAATACAAACTGCCCACGCGGTACACGCTTTCAAGTCTTTCCGCGTGATCTTCAGCTTCCACGGCCTGGTGCCACAGTGTATCCGCAATTTGCGCAGTCTTGATTCCAATTTCGCTGTCAGTGTTGCTTATTTGAGAGGGTGTTTTGAGCCTCGGAATCATGTTCGAGAGTAAACACACCGAACATAATATATGTCTTAAGCCTCAAGACTACGTCTGAAGGAGAAAATTGGGGCTCCGAAAATCCGTACGTAGTCTAGCCAACAGCACTGGGAGCTCACCCAACCCCTACCAGAGCGAAATAGAAAGCCGTCGGTTGCATAGGGCTGGAATCGGCGAGCGTTGGCGGCAGAGCGCGGAGATGCTGGGGGGAACCTGGTACGAGAGCTGCACTCGATTTGAGGCAACTATGGTGCAGATGCTTTCGTTGGTCTGAAGCAGGTTCGCCTAGCTTTCGATAATTATGGGAGCAGCGGCTGCAGGATGATGGTCGACTCCTGCGTCACTCGCTGGACTCTGGCTCACTGCGGAGGCGATCGGTGATGCAGAGCTCGCCCCATCTGCTAGAGAAACTGGATTGGTGCTATCTGCAGCATTGTCGAAGGCTGGCCCCGCATAGTGCTCTTCTGCTCTCATAGACTGGCTGTTACGCCGAGACAGGGGTAATTCTTGAGAATTGTGACTTGAGAAATTCTCCCCAGCATCAGGGACCTAAAAGTGTGCATGTTTCAGTGTGCCAAGTGATAAGATATTGAAGGGCCAATCACTGCGTTCGGGAAGGCATTGAAGGGGCGCGGAGAAAATTGTTCCTTGACGTTGGGGATTGGAGCCAAGTACTATTGGATGAGGATTCTAGGAGGATCGAATATCTCTCCTGACGCAAAGGTCTAGGCTGTGACCACACGGTCTCTAGGACCGTCTCTTATTTCCTGCTGTTGGTCTAGGTGTGCCATGTCGCTCATGTGCGGAGCAACGTACGTGCAATATCAATGAAGTTGTATAACTTTCAGAAATCGAGGCGGCCGCTGGATGAGAACCATGTCATGAAGTATGCTTCGGCAAGTGATGATAAATAGGAATGGGCTTGAGGAAACAGAAAGGGGCTGTGGAGAAAATCATAGTCTGGACCACCGCCTTCTAGAATATCACCCTACTTCTGGCATCCAGAGGGTTCTATAACGACAGAATTTATCTATTGTACTTTTTCCTCAGTCGACATGAACCCCTTCTACTCTTCAATGGCCATTGACTGGGGGATTCTTCTCATATCAGTGCGAAGCGCCCTGGAAGATATGCGTTGTATACTTTTTGGAATCGATACAAAGCCCTCATCTCATGTGGACCATATGACCACTCGTCCATCAACACCGCTGGCTGCGAAGAATTAGCATGTGGAAGTTCTTCCTGAACCCCCAACTACCAGCGGGTACTCACAGCTGAACTTTCTGACGGTTCCGCCAGCTTCATCATAAGTTCTAATTGTGGCGATGGTGTTCTGGTGCACTGTCTTGAGCTGGGTATCGTCCTTGCTCTTTCCTTTTAGATCCATTTGCCTAAACATGTTCAGAGCAGATTCTTCACGCATTTCCTCCAATCCGGGCCTGCCCTTCGACTCCATGGAGCCTACAATCTGCCAGCCTTGCTCGTTACCCCGCAGTCTGTATATTTCGCAGTCCTGCCCACCGTCAGCTGCAGGTTCCCATAGGCATGAAGATTACTTACATATCCAGCAGCAATGATTTCGCTCTCTCCATTCCAGATCAGGCTCAGGAAGGGCAGGAGTTGCGTGCTAAGGCTGACGACGGCGGTGGGAGGCTCATCAGGACCGCTTGGATAGACGACTGTGATACTACTATCATGTGCAGTGAACGCCAGAGCATTGCCGCTTGGCGAAAAAGCACAGCCATGTACCCAACCCGCTGAGTTATTTAAAAATTCTCCACACACAGTGTTGAAAGGCAGTCTTTCGCCCCAGACACTGCTCTCGGGTCTAGCATCGACCCCCTTGATAAAGCTCGAGAACACCCTCGCATGCGCATCTGTAGATCCCGCCGCCAAAAGGACCGAATTGGGGTGCCATGCCACAGTTGTGATGGTACTTCGTATGGGCTTCTTCAAATGCTTCGACACCCACCAATCATTCTCCTCCTCAAAATAACAGACTGCAATGACCCGGGCACCAGAGCCGACCGCGAATTTTTTCTCCGATGGAGACCACCGTACAAATGTAGCTGCGCGATTGATGCGGAGTAATACGAGCGTAGGCTTCCAGCCGGAAGGTGACGGTTCCCAAACGTATGCGTTGCGATCTGCGAGTCCACAAGTCAGCCTTTTTCCATAGTACCTTTAACCTTTTCCCCAGACACACCTTGCGAGCAAGTGACGATTCGCCCGGTACTCGGCGCAATGTCGACACTTGTTACAGTCTTGTCGTGTCCCTTCAGCTCATCTTGCAAGCTGAACTTGTTCCCAGACCTGCTGTAGAGCTCAACGTTGTTGTCTCTGGCCACAGCTAGTGTCTGCCTGTCTGCGGAGAAGGAATGGTCTGCGATTGGGTGATGGAAAAGGTGGTGGACGTCGGGTGAAATCATTGCGAATAACGAGCGACAGGAGTAGCTCTCTACTATCGCCGTTGACTCAAGGTATCTGGCCGAGATGTAAGGGAATTATGCTGTCGTCGCTGGTGGTGCCGTCAGATGGAGGAAGGTGGGGGGTACCGCCGCCCTACTCGTGTGGCCAAAAATTCTACTTTAAACATCTTGGCCGTCCGACGCGGGAGTATCCACCAAATAATATTTCTCGTTTCTCCGCATCTTAACCCTAAAACCATAAACCAACCCTATTGAGCACAGGCAAACTTCGAGACTTCCAGCTTCACAGACTATTTTCTCTTCTATTCTACAACTCTTGTCCTACTGCACGCGACAGGGGACCAATCCTGTACATTCAGGCCGTCGAAATGCCCGCTTGACATAGGGTTCCACTACTCAGCAAGATAAACCGCCAGCACGTACCCGTCCTTTAAGGACCACTTGTTCCACTGGGCTCCAATCTACAACCTATGGCCTCCCACGTTGTTGTTCTAGACTCATCCGCACGCCGGGCTGTCATAAAAACAACGCCTGCCAAGCACCTCGCCGACGTCTTACAGGAAGCATGCACAAAGCTCGGCTTAGACGCCTCCCGTCATGGGCTTAAGTAGGAGGTCCCACTACGACTTTGATCAAGATTATGCTAATGTGCATTTGTGGATAGGAATAATAGTAATAAGACCCTTGATCTTTCACAGCCCATCCGGCTCTCAGGTTTATCCTCAGGTGCCAAGCTACAAGTAGTTGTTCTGTCGCGCTCGCCCTCAGTTGTCTCTGTGGCTCTACAGCTTCCGGACTCAGAATCGGGCGCGTCAAACAGACTCACGGGAAAATTCCCAAGCACAACCACAATATGGCTGCTACTAAGACACTTCGAGTCTGAATCGACGGGCTCGGAGCCCAGCAGGAACTTCACTGGTCGCGGGATACCACAAATGGAGACTGGGGCGAGCGGTTCCGGAAGACTGTTCTATGAGACTCCAGTAGTACAAGTCATGGGAAGGGAGCTTGTTTCATTCGCCGACCTGCAAAAGTCTCTTGCGCAGCTGGGGTTCAATAGTGGGGGTGTTCTCTTGCGCCTCAGTTTCCGTAGAACCGAGCGTCCTCTCGAAGAAGCGATTGTGGAGATAGACCAATATTTCAAATCTGCTGAGGGCGAACAGACCGGAGGTGTACACTCGGCCAGTGCAGCAAAAGCAGGGTCTGGTCCATCCGTCTTGGAACCCTTCCCTGCCCCCAACGATCGCGAAAGACCGTCGCCTCAAGAGCCTTCATCGCCATCTCAAATACAACCGCCCTCCCAACAGTCAGCAGCTCTGTTCTCTTCCCAGTCGCCCATAGGCGATGAAGCTCAGGCCCGCCCTGAATCTAGTGCGCTCCTCTCCGATGCTTTGCCAACTTTAGACACGATCATAACGGGCCCACCCGAGCGCCCAATATCTGTGTTCGCTCCGTCGTCAGCCTCGACACCTGCAGCTTCACGCCAAGCGTTCAACGAGAAAGATTATGAGCCGACCATCGCCCACGCCAAATTGCATCAAGCCCGTCTTGCCACATCAAGCGTCAACAGGCGCCTCCCCACTGATGCTGAGCTCGCAGTCCAGGCCGAGACCCAAGCCAAGAAAACTGCGGACGCAAAAGATGTGGGAATCAAGGTTCGTTTTCCAGATCAAATGCAGGTGATCAGCACATTCTCACACCTGGATACATCGACCACACTTTACAACTTTGTCAAAGGCCTTATGGAGAAAGAGAACGAGCCGTTTTCCCTCAATTTCAGCTCAGCGCAGGGACCGAGGAGTCTACCCAAAGACGGCAACGTGAGGCTGATAGGTGATCTGGGGATGGCCGGACGCGTGCTTGTTAATGTCCTATGGGAAGTTGGAGCAAGCAGTGAAGTAAGGGCAGGCAGCGTGCTGAAACCCGAATTCCAGAACAAAGCCAAGCAAATCGAAGTCAAGGAAATAGAAAGTGTCGAAACGGTCGAGAAAGCGAATGAAACGGTCGAGGGAAAAGGAAAGCAGAAGGACGAAGGGCGGGAAAGGAAGGGAGGCGTGCCTAGATGGCTTAAGTTGCCCGGAAAGAAGTGACAACAAAGCACGATTTTGATGAAGACAACGGGTACGTGCGAGGATCTTGAAGGCCTTCTTCGGGTGAGCGATGGTGCACGACGTTATGGTACATCTTGACATTAGCGAGCATGGTTTAGACGAAGCACGCGAGTAGCATCTACATGGAGTTGGAATAGATAGCCGTGAAGCCTTTGCTGTGTGTCACGAGCGAGCCGCCATAGACAGCACAGGGTGCAATGGCACGAGGTTCCACTTGTTCAGAAGGTCAAAACCTGCATCTCAACATCTCGGTCCATCAAGCTAACCCGTAAGATGGACCACACAGGAGTCTCCATGATCGTGTCCGCAAGACCTCCAGCTCCGAACACCCTCATCTAATGTCCAGCCCTTCTTGACTCGGCAATGACACCTTGCAACTCATCAACCTTTCGCTTCGCACGTCCAAACGTCCCGAGCTGTAATTCAAGCCATGAGTGTCAGCCGGTACCCATCCAAGAGC